CCAAGCATATCTTTTTATCAATCGAATGAAATTTTGTTATAAAAATTTAACGATTATTTACTATCATATGCCAGTTAATAATATTTTAAATATGACCAATAGAGGGGTTGCCAAATAAAATTTTATAACTTTTTCTTCTCATCATATCCCTCAAATATTAGTACTATTTTAAAGTTAAAATTTAATGTCACTTCATTCTTTTTCTTTACCCTGCTTCATCAATGAATACTGCAGACTTCAGAGTGTTAAATTTCTTGAATATTAGAGGTTCTTCTGTTAATTTCTATTTTCTCCCATAAATAAGTTTATGATTTCCTTTATTTTGATGCTTTCATTTCAGTTTCTTCTAATCTTTAAATCAATCGCTTTATAGCTTTCATTGTTTCCTCTTTTTTCAAGTTTCAGTTTTTTCAGAAACTGATGTTTTTAAAAATTTGTTAATATATTCTTCCTGTTAGTTACTTTATAATAAAAAGAACGAAATTAAGCTCTTTAAAATATGTTCTTTTTATATCAGTATCAGGTGCATTAGAAGTAGCCAGAATGTTTTATCTTAAATATTTCATAAAATATTCAAAATTGTAAATCTCTCTCTCTCTCTCTCTCTCTTTTTTTTTTTTTTTTTGCATTCTTTGATACTAAAGTCATTTTATGGTTCCATTATAAAAGCGCGCGCGTGAGAAATGTTGTTTTTCTTTATATCTTGACACTTCAGTCTTTTCAGGGAATGAGATTGACTAATACGTCTGTTCAGTTAATCTGTCCACCAATACGTGTAACTACTCCAGAAATAACCGCAAATGAAATTAACTGTACAGTTCCCCGCAACTTAAATATGATAGAAGAGAAAACCTCAAACTATTATTCAAAGACAAATTTCACATAATTTTTTTTTTTTTTTGAAAATATGGTATAAATTTTACTTTTAAACTTTTAGCCTCCCGATGCTATTCCAAAAAGCTTCTACTTAATAAGCCTGCTGCAAAAACTGTAGTCAGTCGTTTCACCGTTTATATTCAGTTAGCTGTCTTTAGAAGCATTGTCATTCAACTAAAAGCAGTAAAACCTATATTCCAAACTAAACGGGAGGTAGTACAGAATTACTGATGTCAGCAGCATGTGATGCTTTCTAGGAAAATTTAGACTATGCAGCCCAATACGTTAGCGTAAACAAGAACATTTATCTTCAATACATTAGTTCCAACAATAAATTTTAATGTTAGAAAATAATATATATATAGTGATGTAAAACACCAACAGTTTTGAGAAAAATTAATTTTATTAATTCTTATCGGTACTCTTCTGTTATCGGGACCGAATTCAGAAATGTGTCTTTTTATGCATGTATGTATGTGCATATTTGTGTATGCACACTCGCATATGCACATACATACGTACACAAATGCATACACACATACATTTCTGAATCTAGTCCCAATAACAGAAGAGTACCTTCTTCTCTTGGTTCAGCTGAATTGTTTTATAATATAAAATTCTTTTTATACTTCCTGACGTGTTCCAAAATTCAAATTTGATAATTGTAATTTTTTTCTTTAAAAGGAATTTCATAATTTTCGTAACTAAATTGTAGCCCCTTTTAATTATTTAGCTGAGGCAAGTGCTTCCTTTGCCTTGCCCTTGTCCCCCATATGCTCTTATGAGTTGTGCAGCTTAACTTTACAAAAAATCCCGCCTTTACACTGATTGGCTAATTGATTCTGGCAAGACATTTTAGTATAGTATTTGACTAAGCTTGTAGATATACCTTTATAGAGGTAATTCTCTAAAAAAAAAAAAAAAAAAAAAAAAAAAAGCCTAAAATAACATTACTCGTGAGAAAAGAAAAACCACAAAATATCTCGTACAACCACCTCTCTGCTACGTTCCCTCCAAAAGAAGATAACTAGTATATTTTGGGAACTAATATAAGAAACGTAACATAAACCACTGTTAATAGAAAAATCTTGTTCAGCTTTTAAAATTAATCAGATTAAATTTAATGGCTTCAGTTAATCTTGCGTCTGCATTATTTGTTTGGAATAGCATTCGCTACCTAGCTACGGAGGGATGTTTCAGAAATTGATACCAATTGACAAATCAGATTGACACCAATTGATACAAATTAGGATCTTCCTATTCCTTTTTAATCAATGAAAATCCAAGTGTCGTTTTCATCAATGAAAAAAGTAAATAATTTAAAAAGTAATTTTGTCTGCATTTCTTAACAGTACTTTGAGACTAATGTAATTACACCAATGTAATTAATCAAATACGTTTTCTAACGTATATATACTATAGAAATTCGATAAATCGATCTCTTCAGCGACCGAGTGGATAAGATCGCTTAGCATTAGATTAGATCGAATCTATGTGAACAGATTGGCTGTCTGAAGTTTTGTGATTTTTCTTATATATATAGTGAATACAAGGAAATTTCCCTTAAAAAGTCGTCAGGAAGGTATCCCTTCTTTAGGCGCATGGCCTTGATGTTCTTTGTTGTAACCATTTAAACAAACATCAACAAACCTATCGTAAGGAGCAGAAAAAATTTCGAGTAATCGAAAATTCAAGTTAGCAGGTCTTCCGGCAAATTCCTCTTGAAAACCATCCTGGGTTCAAGGTACATATTCATATGAATATATTTAGTATAACACTGTGTAATTTACTGTGCACATTAATGATAATAATTTTTATTAAAAACTATTAAAAGATAGTTAAAATCAAGAAATCGAAATTTTTTATCAAACATTTTAATATCAGAAACGTACTCCTTACTTATGTATAAAAGTATAGAATTTAGTGCAGTTGAGACTTCTTTTGTTCCAATTAAGAATACTAATTGCATTTCTAAAGTAAGTTACAATTATTTACAAAGTACATTTATAAATGCAAACAAGTGGTGATCGTTCTTGTGTGCATCGTTCTCGTGTACAAAATAAAGTTAATGAAGTTCAAATGAACGCAACAGCAAAAAGATGACTAATCGATTCCAAACTTCGGGAGGGAAAAAATATTTTGCAGTTTCCTTCAAAGTCTAGATCAAGACTTTCATGCTATGGGATAATATACAACATTGGTTTATCAAGAAAGAATTATTAAAAAAAAAAAAAATCAGCAGTTCAAAAAAATGCTTGACTTACCCAGTATTTTGGCTAATTGAATTGAATAAATTTGATTTAATCAGCAATATTAACACTGATTTTAACACACTTCATTGAAGGCAGGGGTGGGAGAAGAATTTTTTAGTATGAGCTATTCAACATTTCGATATATCGCAGTTCTGCTTTAATATCGACAGTTAAATTTAAAATTTTAGTTCGTGTATACGTTATCGTCTGCACTAAAGGTAAAATTTAGGGATAATGTTAAAACTCTGGATTTGCATGTAGATTGCTCTTTTTAATATATATGAATACATTTGTTTAATTTATAATCTAATTTAAATGATAATGTACTTTTAAATATTTCGATACGTTTCTATTTGCAATTTTTTAATTGAACATATATTATACACATATAGAGAAAGAAATCGATGTCGAAATTTTAAAGCACTTTTTCCTTAACGATAACTTTTTACGATATCTTTTAAGTTAAATTTTAATTTTAACTAATAATATAGATTTAGTTTTATCAGTTGGCAATAGTATGTATTATTTTCATTTATTTAATGGTAATCTTCTGAGATGCTAAGTAGGAAGTTTTTAGAATGATTTTATTGCATTTGTTTTAACAGAAAGTGTACGGTTAAAAATATTTAAAAAATATTTATATTTACCATACTAATACAAAATTAGCGTCAGAATCAAACAAGTAATAATTTATATTTTTCTAGATTCACAATCACAACTCATTTCTGTCTGTAAAGTAATGGTACTGTTCTGCTGTCGGGGCCGGATTCACGTGTGTATGTGTCTGTGTGCATATATGTGTATATACATATATACGTAAGTACACATATACACGCATACATGAACACATATATCCATATATGCATGCACATACGCATACATTTCTGAACCCGACTTCGATAACAGAAGAGTACAAAATAAAGTTAATTTTTATTTACGTAAAGCATAAACGCGAACATTTTGTATTAAATTTGAGTGCATTTTATTTCATTTCCATATGCATTTCATTTTCATGCAACAAATACATTTCATTTCCGTTAAATAAAACGTATAATACATTCCAGTCCAATAAAAACTAAGACATTGCCATGAAAGAATAATGTAACAAAAATTTAATAATATTGTTTATATAATGTATATAATGTTTATATTATGTAATCTTTGTAATAAATTCATTGATGTTAAGGGAAAAAAATAAACTGACGGGAAAAAATGCAAGACATTTAAATAAATTAAAAACGTGTTATTTAAATATCCTAGATAAGAGAATAAACTGTTCACATAGTTGTAGTTCCTAACACTTAAAATTCACTGCTTTCCAATATATATTATTTTGAAAAATATTTCAAGTCATTTTACCATAAACATTTAAATTTTAAAATAATAAAACTGTTTGTAATTGATTAATAAGAAATACAATTAACAAATTCTATCAGGGAAAAAAAGTAACACAGAGTTACGTTTTCGGTTATTCTTCTCGGATTATGTTTGTAATTAATTGTGAGGAAAAATTCGTGAAATTTTACTTTTGAAAATTTTTGTCCTGTAAATAGCAATAATACGTTTTAGTAGTGAGTTAAAGTCAACAAATAGAGTATACATATTTTCAATACATATTCGAATGCGAAAAATTTAAGATGAGTGTTTATCATCTCTGTTTCTGTAAATATTTTTTATAATAAATACAACGCGCTCAAAACTGAAAACATTTGAAAGAATTTTAAATCTTTATACCACTACTACTGCTTCCGTTTACCCACTGAAAGTAAATTTTGGCTTTGAAACGAAGCATTCAAAATTTGGCGACAACTCCGTTGGCGAAATCGAGATTGAGATCCCGGCAACCTTTTATCAATGAGGCGATGCCTTGTCCGGAGGCAGATTTCAAACGGACGTGAGTTCTTGTCTGTAAGTGTTGTGAAGTGTTTCATAGACTTACTTGTTGAGTTTCTTGATTGTTGAGTTGATTAATTAAAAAACTGTGTCTTCTATTTAAAATTCCTTCCGAAATCTCTCTGTGGTGTTACAGCAATATGTGATAAACTTATTTGAATCTTATGACGGTTGTGTTACTAGTCTGAAACAGTTACTGTGATTTTTTTGTGTGTTACTAAATGATACTACGTTAACTCGTTTATGATTTATGGATATTTTTGCTTTTATTGAGGTTGCATATCATTGGATATAGAACTTAAAAATCTGTGTACTTTCAACTCTTTTCGTTTAGAGTCGTTTCTATATTGACAGGTAAGAAATGAAATTGTCATTTTACAATTTTTAGTTGCCGTTGCCTTCACTGTAGCACGGTGAACCATCTGGATCAGGAATAACTATGTAAATATAATTAATTAACCCTGAGGCAACTTATTGGGTGAAAGCAGAATTAATTATGCAGTAAATTAACATTAATATTTAAATGTTTTAATTTTATGTATTAGTTTATTACATTTATTCTGTGTTGTACATTGGGAGTTGTACATTTAAAAATTTCTCATTATATCAGAATTGCTTTAATTTTAATCGCACGCTTTAAATTAAAAGTATTCGTACGTTTTTATCACGAAACTTAAGATTTTCGCGTATTTGTGTTGTTGACATGATCAATAGGAAGCCTGTACTGCAGCGGAACATGAGGCATATACAAAATTTATTACAGCTCATTGGTAAATTTTTCTGCTCAAACTGTTATAGGTAATTTGAAATAATTTATAGAATTCAGGGGTTAGCATTTACCCCTTCCCAAATTAATTTTTTTAGTTTATTTGCTGAAAACTTTTTGTATTTCTTACTTCATCACCAACTAATCAAGAAAAAAATAAGAATTACGAGGGGGGCAATTCTTTAATTTTTGGGTATATAGTCTTCTATGGTAAGTATTCAAATTTGAATATTATTGTATTTAAACCCCGTGGTTTCTACGTTCAAGAATTTAAGATAAACAAAAGTAACTAACAACATATTTACGATTTAAAAAAGTGGTTTCCCCATAAACAAAGAAAGTCAGTTCCATTAAGAGAGTAATTGGAATCAATGAGTTACTCTGTAAAATCTGAAAGGCAATTAGCTTAAATAACTCTATAATGAAAAATATCATTTCGGACATTGGTTTATAAAGAAAAGATACTGATTACAAATGTGCCGACTAATTTGGAAATTAATCAAGCATAACCAAATTTATTTTGTATTAAAAATTCACAAATTTTAATAACAGTTACTTTCTCCACAATATTTGAAAAATAACTATTTTCTTAACGCTATTTATGTCACGCTTCAGTGCAGGAAAACAATGCTTAAACCGGAAGTCACTTCCGTTCTTAAGAAAGTCATGTTTAGGAGGACGGGGGATGTGTCTTTGCTTATACCTTCTTGCGTGTTTTTAACTTTATTCATCTTAGAGGGCATCATGTTCTGTTTTTCTAGATGATTTATAAGAGACAATTCGTGACGTAATCGTTATTTACTTTTCACGTAGCATAGTTCCGAAACCGATGTTTCAAAAAGCAAAAGTTATGAGACAAATTTTCAGGCGTTAAGGCATAAGAACCGTTATGAAATTGCTATTTTATATGTATGTTTATATCTCACCTTTACTAGTCAATAGATGGTTACTTGGGTTAATGTATAAAATTTTGTAAGGCTACAGTTTGAGTGGAATCGTAATGACTATATTCGTAATAATTAGAAATTTGTGGTATACATACGGTCAAATGTAATGCTTTGATTAAGATTCGAAATTCCTTTTAACTCATATTTATAGTCTTTTTTACACGGATCAACTGAATAATATAAATTTTATTATTATTGCACCATTTAATATATTAATATTTTTTATATTTATTCCCAAAATCGAACTGTACATTTTTATGTAACATATTTGTAACTTTCTCTTAACAAAATTTATTTCTAGAGGAGAAACACAAACCCCAAATAATGTGATGAATGTGGTTTCGTTTCTTAATTAATTTCATGATTTTAGTGGTTTGCTGTAATTTTATTAAATATGTGCTATAAACTAATTTCTGAGATATAAAATTGACATTTGGTATTTCACCTGTAATATCAAACAGTAACTAATTTTTTCAACCAGGGATTCTTAAACTTTTTCCAGTTGCGACTCCCAAGACCCCATAATATTTATAAATTTTTGTGGGACCCCATATGTATTGCGCAAATCCGACATACGCGTCAGTGAAACTCTCAATGAAAATTTTAAATAAGTAACAGACGAAATCACAGCATCACGTGCAAAGCAAGGAAAATGAACGTTTCTATTATAAAAAGAGAAATGCATCGAAACGTTTTCGTTTTTTTTTTTTTTTTTCTTTGTCTGTATTGTCTTATCTTTATCTATTTTCAGATACATTGTGTAAAAATATTTAGTAATTGTAAAATTATTATAATAAGTTAAAGAAATATCAAAACTGCGAAAATTTTTGGCTGCAAGTCGCGACCCACAGTTTAAGAAATCCTGTTATAAACGATAAAACTGCCGGTACAGTGTTACAATATTATTTCCAAATTGAGTTCCGCTGTTATACGGAAATAGCATCGATTCTACTACTACCTCATATCAAGAAGAGGTACATAGTCGTGGATCAATACTAAGAATTGCGGATTTTTATTTTGTAACAAAAATATCTTGTACCATATCAATCGAAAACTGAAAACGCAGTAGCTGATATTTATTTTCGCTAAAGATGTTTATTTTACTGATGTTACTTGTAATAAAAAGTACTTAACGAAATTTGTACTATGAAACTATCATCATTTCTTACCTTAATAAAAACCAAATTACTCTTGCCATGGTACGTAATATATAGCATTAGAAACAACCTATAAAAACTAACGAAGACGGTGCGTATTTCATGTTTTGCTTTTTCAATGAATATTCATAATGTGAGTTTTTTTGCTTTTAAATCGCTAAAATTATTTTAGCAACATAATTAAAATTTGAAAGATAAATATTTTATGTTATGTGAAATGGCAACGCTCTGGTACTTGTTATATGCGAGGCTGCATGGTAGGTATATAAAATTTGGTCATGTTTCGCGTGATTGCAGGAAATGTCTAGTCGCATAAATAATAAATGTAAGATAGCGTAATGGAATTTAACAGTCCAAAAATTTTGGAAGTGATACATTTTGGATATTCCCCATGTAAAACCAAAAAACCTAAGTTAGAAATGTCTGTAGTTTAATTTTTCCAAAATATTTGGATTGTTGTGTCACGATACGCTATCATACATTTGTTATTTGTTGGCATTCTGGGAAATATGAAATATACTATTTATGCAACCTTGCAAATAGCCAGTTTCCAGAGCGTTGCCATTTCACACGTGGCGAAATACTTATGTTTCGAATTTTGCGTGTTTTGCTACTGCAGATTGAGCGACTTAGAAGGAAAAAGAAAAAGTACTTACTAATTTAAATCTTTACTTTATCTTTACTCAGTATAAGATAATGTATAATAATCCAACTGGTAGTTTTAATGAAGATTTACAGGTTTATGGTACTAAATAATGTTTCTTACACCATGTTGTACTTACTTTGTTAGAGTGATTTAGTATTAAAAGCGTTCCGGCGTTCCTCGAAAAAATAAATAAATAAACCTAGTCCACTATTCCCTGAAAATGACTTTTATCGTTTTAGAAGAGTTTTGGTGGTAATCTATTTTAAACCGATGCTTCAACCACAACATTTTAGGTCTAGCAGAAAATTCTGTCCATTTGGGAAGTGAAGGAAAATGTTACATTTTTCATACCTTTTATAATTTTTGTGCAGTATAATTTCCATTGTTTCTTATAACCTCTTGCCAGCTTGACGGGAATTTGTAGGTACCATTTTTGAAAAATGTCTTTTCCTTAGAGGCGAAGGACTCAAATAGTGCTTCTCTGACATCTGGTTCAGTTTTAAATATCCTCTTTCAAACAATTTCGTAAGGGAGGAAACGAGGGCTAGTCGGAGTTTGACTGCTTTATTTCAATGGTTCATTTGTTGACAGTAGCTCTCCGAATTGAGCTCTTTTTTTTAGGTTTTAAAAGCTTATAATGTATTGGGCCTTTAACGTCCTACTATGCGCATAGCATTCTCTTATTCAAACTCAACTCGATTTACAGGTGGAAGGGCGCATAGTATACTCTTTTTTTTCTAATGATGTTTACGTAGGTAATTAATTCACTTCTCATTCCTAGTTATCATCCGGTCCAAAAACGATTCATTTTTGTTCCGAGCAAGCAGAAATGCGTATATGACGACTCTAACATGAAAAATTTTCTCATTTAACTCATGAGGCACCCATCTGAAATATTTGCAAACAAGACGTAGCTTCTGAATATGGTCCGAAATAATTTATTGAGTTTTGATAATATCGTCATCGATCAAATCTGGCTGCCCACAGCGTGGTTTGTCAAGGTCGAAATCACCTGCTTCAAATTTTTCGAACCATCTTCTGCAGATTTTTACCCAAAACTGCATCTCCACCAAAAATTTCAACGCGCGTCTGTAGCATTTCTTCCTGATTGGAATTCGTACAAAATACGTCATGAATGAACTTCGACTATAGGCATTTTACATGATCGCGTCTCATTTAATGATGACATGAAGCGCTTTTGTTACAGAAATGCAATGATAAAGATCCATGAACACCTGAATGCGTGTTGAAACTTAAAATAACATTATCGGACAGAACTTTCCGGTGAATGCGTGTTGAAACTTGAAATAACATTATCGGACAGAACTTTCCGGTAGACATAATATTAATAATTAAAGCAGTTATGATTTTAACTTTTAGACGTAACTTTGCAAAACATAAACAAATTTAATATTTTTTTAGCTAACTTAAGACGTTTTCTTAAGAAAAATAGAGCCGTCTTTCTGTTCACATTACAATGCATGTAAAACAGTAATCCGTCCAACCTGCCATTTAAGGAACATGCTGCGAAAACAAATCTCTATAAAATACAAATTTTGCAAACTTAGAAATTGTCAGGGTTCCTTGGTTTATCAGAAATAACTCATTTTATGCAGATTTAAGAACTGACGTCATTTCCAAAATTGCTCAATTTTTTTTTTTTTTTACAGTATTAGACATCATCAAAGCACTGCCTTGTCATTTCAAAATCATCAACTGCGACCACAATATAAACACGTCTACCCGTTCAACATTTCTCTTTTGTAACAATTGGCATTATTTTAAAATGACACTTTGGCGTCCTTCACACGAAGAACTTTAAATGTTCTTCAACGGGT